CATAATCCATAATAACGCTTCCTCCAGTGAAAAAGTGTTCTGGTGTGAATCAGGAGAGAAATCTGCACAGATCAAGCATCGTTTAAACAGCTCTAAACAAATATGTGGCTGGATTTTGATGTGAGAGACAACAGCAGATGCACTTTTTCACTGCAGGAAGAGTTATTATGGATTATGGACTCTATGGTATTTTAGTTAAAAACGTCTTAATGCTGGATTTGTTTCAGCTTTTGTCTTCTCCAGATGTTAACTGATGGACTGGAGTGCTGTGGATTACTTGTGGATTATTGTGATGTTTTTATCAGCTGTTTGGACTCTCATTCTGACGGCACCCATTCACTGCAGAGCATCCATTGCTGAGACACTGATGCAATGCTACATTTCTCCAAACCTGATGCAGAAACAAACTCATCCTGATCTCGGATGAACTGAGGGTGAGGATAATTTCAGCAAATGTTAATTTTTGGGTCAACAGTTCCTTTAGTTGTTCACTCTCTGATCATTAGCTGTTGCCCGTGCTTTATTTCTTCTCAAAGTCATCGGCTGGATTTTGCTCATTTTGCTCATAATTCATTCATTTCTGTCAGATTGATTAGCACATGCAGAGTGCAGGAACTCGATCTCCTCTGCCCCTGCGATCACCAGATGAAAATGGGAAAATAAATGATGTTTATCTTTTTTCTCCTCTTCACCTCATTTAAAGTCTGTCCTTGTGTCTCACGCTGGGATGAGGCTCAATCACGCTCGTGTTTTAATGATGTAAATGATGTAATCGAGCTGCTTGGCTTGATCTAATCTGGTAACTTCTCACTGGTGTTTTATTGCACCGTAAAGTGTGGCGTGGAGCTCCACTGCAGGGAATGCTGGGAAATGACTGGAGCTTGATCAATCATCAATCAAAAGAAAAAAAAAAGAAAGAAAATGCATGAAGATTATGATGCCAAAAATAGGACAAAAATAAAGAAAACGGGAAGAAATGTCTATTCTTAATATATATCATATATTTTTCAGTATGTAATTTATTTATATTTATTAACATGTTTGTTTACCTTTGCATCACAGTAATGAGAATCTGCAGGGAAAATGTGCTTATTTTCATGAAAATGAAGTTGCAATCCAAATAGTTCTAAAACCAGCTTCATTTTCTTTACAAAACATTTTTTTATTTAATTCTTTGGATGTTTTGACAGGTTTAGTGATGATAGTGTGTTTGTCTGCTGCAAATGCTTCTTTAAACACTGAAGTGAACAAAGCAGGATCAGAGATTACTGTGGTGAGATCATGGTGAAGAGAGAGAGAAATGCTCAGTCACGGACGCCGCTTACAGCTTCATAAAACACACACACACACACATGCATTTATACACACATGCACACTCACGTGCACACACTTATACACACTCACACATGCACACACACACACATGTACGCACTTATACACACACACTCACAAACGCATGCACGCACACACACCCACACCCATATACACACACACATGCACCTATACAGACTCACACACACATGCACTTACACACACATGCACTCATAAACACTCAAACATATGCACTTATACACACTCTCACACACACATGCACACACTTACACACATCATGCACCTATACAGACTCACACACACACACACACACACACACACACTTATACACAAATGCACACACTTATACACACATGCACTTATACACACACACACATGCACCTATACAGACTCACACACACATGCACTTATACATTCTCACACACACATACACACACATGCACTTATACACACTCAAACATATGCACTTATACACACACACACATGCACACGCTTACACACATCATGCACTTATAGACTCACACACATGCCCTTATACACACACACACACACACACACATACACACATCATGCACTTATACACACTCACACACACACACCCTACACTCTCTCTCTCACACACACATATACACACACACATGCACAATCACATGCGCACACACACAAACATGCATTTATACAAACATGCACACTCACGTGCACACACTTATACACACACACATGCATACACACACTCACATGAAGTCTACATGTTAAAACAGAGTTCACACAAATAGCTGCTGATAGCGCAGGCTTTATTCGCTCAGATCGCGCTCGTGCGCCCCTCGCTGTGAGTTATTTCCGTGCTCGTCTGACAGCCTGTCATTATTCCGCTGCACATTTGCCGCTTTGTGATTTTCTTTTTGTGGTCTTCCTGTGCCGTAATTACACCGCATGATGGGCTCTATTATTGGCACAATTAGCAGCACCTTCCCTGCGCGACTGAAGCCGGAGCTCGACCTATATTAAGAACATTTCAAAGTTCACGGCTGCGCTAATGAGCTCCCGCGCGCCGGGATCCTAACGAACCGGTGAACGGACGCAACGTGACCCACCAGAAACAACACGCACTTCACTAATCACATGATTATTACGCTTATTTCCACAAATGCACGTGTGACGTCAGCACTAGTTTCTCTCTCCTTACTCCCTCCATCACTGATTGTGACGTCAGATCGGTTGTAACGTGTCTGTGCGCGCATTGTGCATGCGAGTAATTAGCTCTGACCACCTCATGTCAGAGTAATAATATCATGACCTTCAGAAGGCCTCACCGTTCGTCTGTGGGGTCCATCAGTCTGCCTCATTTACATGCTATTTGCATATCATTAGCATATTTATAAATGCAGAACTGTGAGTTGAAACAAAGGGCTCGAGCCACTTTTGATCTGTTTGTTCGCTGCACACCGTCACGTTTGCTTTTGTTTGTGTTTCTGTTCATCAAAACATCAGTTTAGTCAGTTTGCATATTGTTTTCATTTTTATAGTAGGAGGATCTTTCAAAATGATTTCTGTCCTTTTAAGTGAAGCAAAACATCACAAAATTCATCAAATCCATTGATACCTACTGACGTCGATTTCCCACCAAAATGATGTCACTTCCTGTCAGATGATGTCATTGGCTTTAGTTAGTCTTTAGCTTTGACATGGAAGATACAGAAAAGACCGGTAAATTCATCAATTAAAGCAATGTTACTTAAAATGTGTTTGGACAAAGAAAAAACGAAGAAACAAATGCACATGAAAACTCAAAGCTCTACAAAATAAAACAAAATAAAAGTTTACTTTAACTTGAAGAAACTGTGGCAGGAATATATTACTTTTGTGTTGTGCAATATAATGCACTTCTTAAAGTCATGAATTCTATAATAATATTACATAACAATAATAAAAAATTTATTATTTAATAATATCACATTTCTTTCACATTTTAATTTTAACATTAAACCTTGGTTGTGCATCACGTTATTTGCCAAATTATAAAAGGCATTGTTACATTTTCTTTCATTACATTTTAAAATATTAATTAAACTGTTAATGTTTTATGTCTTCATTTGATTACCACTGTTTTTGGTGAGAAATTTGTATTAAGCTTTAAATCCAGAAAAACTGAAGAAAAAAAAAATCTACTAATATTGTGCAAATTTTAATAAATAATGGTAAGTTTTATGAATTCAGTTGATTAGACATGCTTTTTGATTATTAAAATGTAATTAAACCATTAAAATTAAATCCAGAAAATTAAATGGAAAACGTAGAAATTGGTAAAAAAAATTAATTTAGGAAAAACATAAAATGGATTTTATAGGGTCCTAAAAATTACATTTTTATTAAACCTTTAATAAAATGTTGATAAATGGTTTATTTCATGATTTCATTTAATTAAACATGCTTTTTGATGACTATAATTTAATTTAACCATTAAAATGGAATCCAGAAAAAAAAAAAAGCTGAATTTGGGAAAAAGATATTTAAAAAATATATATGTAGAAAAAAATGAATTTGGGATAAAATAAACAGAATTTGGCAAGAAACAAAAGACAATATGTGAAAAGATCAAACAGAATCTAGAAAAAATGAATTTGGGAAAAGATAAAACAGAATTATAAAAAATAAAATGTAATTTGATATCATCCCTGCGTGTGTCATGATCAGCAGCATGAATCTGAGCGTCTGATGGTCTGTCAGGTGAAGATGAGGACGGTGTGGCTCGTTTCAGTCCTGTGTTGGTGTTCTTCATCACTCTCCTGATGCTTGATTTACTGCAGACGGTTTATAATCAGCATAATGTGATGTTTGTGTTGATGATGCAGTGTATGACAGTATTAGATCAGACAGACGGATAACGGTGGCAGTGAATCAGACTGAATATTTGCTTTAGTAATTCTGAGGGATTCTTCATCTGTTGGTGTGTGTGTGTGTGTGTGTGTGTGTGTGTGT